TTTTAATATTTTTAACATCGGTAGTAGGGGCCTGATTCTCTTCACGGTCACATTAGCATCACTAGCAGAAGAGTTTCATGAACTTTGTTTTGATGAATTTTACCATCAGGTTTGTTTTTGTATATTAGTAAGAGTAGGTTTATTCTCATAGACAACATTTTTAGGGTTTTTCTTGGAATGTTCTTACACAACTTCTTGAGCAACGTCATCTATGGTGATAAGTTAAAATTTGTAATGAGTGATTATGTCTTAGCTTTTCGGCAAATAGGAATTTTTTATGGATTAAAATAATTTTGAATCTTGACACATGGCAGGTGATCAGATATAGAAGTTAATGAAAGTGATGTTGTTGTAGACCCTTAAAAGTTATATCATAATTGATTTATACTCTTTGACTGGTGAGTTTCCAGGTCGGAGACAAGAATTTTAAATTATGAAATTAAATCAAGAAATATTACTAAGTTTGGCTAAATCGGAGAAGTGGTAAGGTTGGCTCGTTGGAGAGTTAGCCGAAAAGCAGTAAATTGCGATAAAGTAAAGATAACAATAAAGTGTGAGCGGCAGAGATAGTGAGTGGAGCGACGATTTACGAACAGTGGATGTATTAAATGCGCTGGTGAGCATAGCAGCATGGATGACAAGTGTGCAATACATATATATATATATATATATGAGTGATGATTGGTGAGCGGTAAATGATAATGAAAGCGGGTAAATGGGCGATAATAATAACAACGATAAGAGTGAGTAGAGATGTTTGTGTGTGATCTGTACTTTAATAAAATGACTAGATTCTCATGGATGAAATGAGCAGATGATGAAAACGGAATATCAAAACATATACTCCCTCCGTCCCATTGAAATGTTACAATTTTCTATTTTCGTCCGTCCCAAAACAAGGTTACCACTTCCTAATTTAGTAATTGTACTACCTATCTAACATAATAAATACCCTTTCAACTTACAATATATTACACAAATGTCATTACTTTTATTACACCATACTAATAGGAGTATTTTTGCCTTTTTCACTATAATCCAATATAATACTAATATTAAAAAATCTACGTGCAAAAAGCAAATGTCACCCTTTCAATGGGACGAAGGGAGTATATAATGCGAAGCGACAGAAGTAAGATTGCAATCATACTTGTTCATTTAAACCAGATTCTTGACACGCTGGTACTTGACCTTAAGGGATTTACAATAAGACTTCAATGATACTCATATTTTAAATATTATAAGCAAGAAAAACTATTGTCACGAGACATTTTTTAGACCCGATAGACAAACGCCTATGTCTAAATAATTATTCTGAAAATCTATTTCATGAGTTGTTTTACCCTTCTAAGACTTCTCTTTAATCAAAATTGAATTTAGAATAGCAATTAAGCAGGTCGACAAGGCTCCCGCGTACTTAACTACGATGAACTACCTAAAATATGTTAATGAATATGAAGCAAAATTAGGCTTTGCTAATCAATTGTTCTGATGCACTTTCCACAACGAGTAAAATTCCGGATTTAAACAATCAAATACAAACTTGGATTTGGGAAAGAATTTGAAGATGAAAAAATCTTGATATTGAATTAATACTAAGAAAATTGTAAGTCTACATTACTGAAAGCGATAATCAAAGAGTAAATAAAGTTGTAAATCTGCCTATAAAGCAACTAACACTGGGCGGTTAGGGGAGGAGAGAATCTCCACTCCCCTGATCTCCTGTCTAACTAAAAGAACTTCTTTATATGATTGGAACTCTCGAAAAAAATGAACAGAGTAAAAACAGGGTATCATAGTATGATCTATGATATATTATACAAGAAATCTGGCCCTATTTATAAATTTTATGGATTGTCAGTTGGCGGCAATTGAGCGATTACAGAGCTGTAGTTGAGAACGGTTAAAATGTTGTTGCAATCGATGGACAGTCAGGCTGTTAATTGGTTGAATGGTTGGAACTGTCATAACTTCCAGCTTGCTCGCTTGTCTGCAGGACTACATTAGTTGGGCGCAAATATTCCTTGCCGCCTTGCTAGACTTGGCCTGGCTGAAGGGCATTGGCACAGCTTAAGCAAAGTTATCGTCGCTGGCCGGTAATGGATAGCTGACTGTTGAGAACTTTATATTTAATTATTTTCTTTGGAACTTCAGGATCATCGCTCGTCAGTGGTGAACATTTGGATGGCTAACTGGCTTGGGGACGAGCGGAAAGAACTTCGCTCGCCACAACGGGCAACACCATCGCTCGTCTCATCATACTTAAATATTTTTGAGTTAGAATCGTCGCTTAAAAAAGCTAAAAATATCAATAATCTTCACAAACAAATTTGGATCATAGCAAGCAAAATAGATCGATAAAGTGTGCCATAAATCAAATTTTGTGATGATTATCATATAAAAATACAAAAAATACACAATTTTATTAAGCGATAAATATACTATTATTTAGAGTTATCGTATGAATTGCTTGAGGTTATCAACATCATCTAGGGTATCTCTCATTTCCTTGTTTGCGGTAGCATCTAAGTTTCTAACAGGATCCGCCGAGGTTGTCTTATTTAAGTCAATATCAACAAAGCCATTAGTTTTGGTTACATTTGATTCAATTGAATACTAAAATATTTGGAGTTCATTCTTTTTTGATAAAAGAATTATTCAATTAAATATTAAAATATTTTATACTTTATTGTAACCTCACTAATGCTGATGATAAACAAAATTTACAGTATTATATTACACTACATAGGTATATTAATATACCTAAATTCGTATACAAAAATTAAATGAATATATTTGATTTAGTCAGAAAAAATATTTATCTATTCGTCCTATTTAATTTGTCATTTTTTTCGAGATATGTCTGTCCAACATAAATTGTCTCTTTTTTTTTTAAAAAATATAATTATATACTTTAATTACATTTAAAATTTATAATTATAATTTTTAGTGTAAACTACTATTTTTACTCCCGAACTGGACCCTTGTCATTTTAATCGCGTAATTAAAGGCTGTATTAAAATAGTCTTGTACGTGAAAATTTTCACAATTTAGTCCTCAATGTCTATATATGTGGCATATGCGTGGCATGTTGACGGACACGTGTCGGTGCTGACGGACACGTGTCGGCCAGATCAACGCCACGTGGCTGACACGTGTCCTCCACGTGGTAATTTTTTTTAAAAAAATTATCTTTTAAATAAAAAATAAATAAAAAAATATAAAACATAAAATATATAAAAAATAAATTAAGAAATATAATATAAAAATTAAATTAAAAATTAAAATTATCCACATGTCCGTCAAGTACGTGCATAATTTATATTTTTTATATTAAAAATAAAAAAATAAAATATAAAAAATATAATTTAAAATATACTAATATATAAATTATTAAAAGTCAGGTGGCGCTGACTTAACGTACATATGAATAATTTTTATTTTTTATTTATTTATTTTTAATTTTATTTTTCAACTTTTATATTTTATATTTTTATTTTTATATTTTTATATTTGTAATTTTTTTATATTTTATAAAATAAAAATAATTCACGAGACTAAAAAATTAGTTTATTCATATTTTTATTATATTATAATTATTTTTACTATTATATTTTTTAATTATTTATTAATTATATATTATCTAAAATTCGGCGCCATCTAAAATGGATGAATTATTTGAGAAGGAACAAGTAATACTCCCTTCGTCCCACCTTAGGTGTCTTGGTCACTGTAACATGGGAATATAGAATAAGTATAATCAGTAGATAATTAAAAATGTATTGGTGAAAATAATTAACAAGATAACTAATTAGTTTAATTAAAATTTTAAAAAATTAAATTAAAAAATTTAAAATAAAATTAAAATGGGTAATTATTATTATTATTATTTTAAAAGTGACATAAAATATGAAACAAACATAAACGACAATATGAATACGACAAATGAAATGGAAAAAATATTTTATTTTATTTATCATTGTTACTTTTTAAATATCAACAGAGAAAAAATGATGTGACATGATGTTAGGTGGACACTTAAAACATATCTTCACCTCACCGCATTTTCCGGCGAAATAGTTTATGTGGTGTACGAAATATAATTGAAATAATATAAATAATAATTGAATATTCTTTTCATTTTAGTCCAATTATAACAATGGATAGATTTTTTTATTTTTAATACATTTATTAAAAATATAATATTATATATATAATATTTTATTGCAATATAATATTTAACATATTTAAATATATATTTTTAATTTTTTTAATTATATTAAATTTTATTTTAAAAAATTATAGGTTATTACTATTATTTTACTAAATTTTATTATTTTAAATATTATATTTCCCTCGTCTCATATCTATGTAGCCGCTTGTTTTCGGTATGGAGTTTAATAAAATTAAAGTAGAAATGACTAAAATAATTTTATTAGTATTGTGTGATATAAAATATAATGATATTTGTGTAATATATTGTAAATTGTAAAGATATTTTTTATTAAAAAAACTAAATAAATATTTTATTATTGAACGAATTAAAATAAAAAAATAAATATTTTTATTAAAGAATAAAGTAAGTGTTATTAAATGAACATGTGAAATATTTATTTTTTTATATGTTACTTCCTCCGTTTCAAACACTGTGAAACATTTATTTTTGGTACGAGAATTTAGGTGGAGAGTATTAAATATTGTAATTTGAGATAATTTAGATATTGAGTGACATGGAGAGATAAATGATTATTTATTTTTTTATTTAAGTGATGTGATGGAATAAAGTCAAGTATATATTAATATATATATAAATATTATTAATTATTTTTAAATTTGAAAATATTACAGTGTATATAAATTTGAGACAGACAAAAAAAAATATATTGCAGAGTGTTCGAGAAGAAGAAAATACTTTTTAAGTATACACATTTGTATCATCATCACATATAAAAGGGCAAACAAATCCCTAATTAAGGAAGAATTAACAACCTTAACTAGAGGTAGAAAGAGAGAGAGAGAGAGAGAGAGAGTATATATACATATAAATATATATAATCATCGATCATGAAAAGAGGTGAAAGCTCAGGAGGAGGGCAGAGCTCACTGGGCTATCTCTTCGGCCCAGATGCTAATCAGAATAAGACACCTGTCAATTCGCCACGTCATCCTCCAACCTCGTATACGCCGCCGCCACCGTACGGAATTGATGACGAGAAAGCGGCGCCGCCACCGCCGCCGCCGCAGCACAGAACCAATAACCCACTCAATAAGGGCCTAAATTCTGGGAAACCTCTCACTGTTAGTCTGCAATTAATATTATTTCTTCCTTCCACTTTAATTGGTGTAGTATTTTTATTTTTGTCTATTTCATATAATTTATTTTTTTTTAATAAATATAATTATATATTTTAATTATATTTTAAAATTTATAATTTATATATATTTTTTATTTTAATTAAATTATTTAATCATTTTAATCTTAATTTATAATTATTTTTGTTAAATTATAATTATTTTCACTAATAAAATTACTAATTACATAATATCTAAAATTCTGTATCTAAGCTAAAAAAAAATAAAACAATTTAGCTGAAACGAAACGAAGAGAGCATTATTCCACAACAAATTTATTTAATTTTTTAATTAAGGCAAAATTATTTATAATTTATTTGCAATTTAAAAATTTTAAGTCTCTCGTATGATTTCAAAACTACACAATATTTTATTGTAATTAAAAAAATATTAAATAAAATCTTGTAAAAATTGCATGAATTTTTTTTTTTGTATTTTTCAAAAACACAAAAGCTTCTAAAAAGAATTTTATGTAATATTTTTTAAAACACAAAAAAGTTTCTTGCCGCTTCTAAATCAAGAGAGAAGATTCACTACAAAAATATAGTATATTTGTAACGGAATTTTGTCGCTAAAATTCACGTAGCTAATGTAATTCTATCCTCAATTCCATCTCTAATTTTATTAGTAACGGAAAAAGTGAATTTAGGAAGGAAAAAATTTTGTTACAAAAATGATATTTTATCGTAGTGATTGTGTAAAATTTTCAAATCACAAGTAAGTTAGGAGTAATTATGCTTTTAATTATAGGTAAATTGCACAATCCTCTTTGTATTTTAGTAAAAGTATACAAAATATAACATATTTTATTTATTACACGAAATTCTTTGTATTAAATTAAAGTACCTCAAAACATTTTTTTTGTCCGAAACTCATATTTAATTGTAAATACACATCTAATTATAAAAGTTTATACAAATAAAATAGGTTAAATATCTTAAATAGCATTATATTGAATAAAAATATAAATAATTAATCAATATTTCATTTATAATTATTTATTTATTTATATATGTAAAAATTAGGTAACACTTTGTCTCTAAAATATTACTATTATATTGATGATTGATAAATTACATATTTGTTTATTTTATTAAAAAATAGTATTTAAGATATTTTATATTTTATACTTATATAAAATTTGTATTATTAAGTGCATTTACAATCAAATATCAGCTTTGAAAACAAAGTATTTTGTCAATAATTTAATTTAGAGTAAATTATATAACACCCTCTTGTATTTTGCTATAAATACATAAAACAACCTATGCTTTATTTATTGCGTGAAACTTCATTGTGTTAATGTAAAATTTGCACAAAACACCCTCTTTGTCCAAAAGTGATATTTGATTCTAAATAAAGACCTAAAATACACGCAAGTTTTATACAAATAAAAAAAGTAAAATATCTTAAATAGTAATTTTTTTGAATAAAATAAATAAATAGATAATTGATTAATTCTTCATTTTATAGTTTTTCGAAGACAAATTATTATCTGATTTTTACAAAATCTATAAAAATAAATGATTGATCAATTATTTATTTATTTGTTTTATTTAAAAAATTATTCAAAATATATTACATTTTTTATCTTGCGTAATTTAGGTCTTTATTTAAAATCAAATATCAGTTTTTGACAAAGAGAGTGCTCATACATTTTATTTACACAATGGGGTTCACGCAATAAATAAAACATAAAACATAAAAAAAAAAATGTTATATAATTTACCCTTTAATTTAACACAAAATTTTTTTTAACATAATAAATAAAATACAAAATATATATATATTTATTTTTACAAAAATACAAAATAATTTTAGTACAATTTACCATTTAATTAATAATTTCTTTGTTTTAACTAATAAAAAGAATGAATGAGTTGTACTTTTTGGTAATAGGGTCGTCTATCAACAAAGGTTAAATCCCCACCAGGCGGAGATTCATCACTTGGCTATCTTTTTGGAGATAAGTCCTAACTGACAGAGCTTTAATTTTCACAAGAATTATATAATAAGAATGAAAATATTCATTCCCCATATTTATATAATATGTATGTATATAAGTTTGGGTATTTGTATGTGTCTGTATGCAGCTTATAAATTAGGGTTTGTTTGTATTAATTATACTTTGTATGGTTTGCAATTTTAAGAGATGTGTTGGAATATATGGGTATTGCGAGAATAAATTTTACCATGAAACCGAGTCGAGGATGAATCAATTTTCTGAAAATTAGATACACCCCTGTAGTATCTCAAGTGGCTGACATTCTAATCCAAAGATAAAACGGTTTCCGTCTCCAATGAGAGTGACACCTCTAATCGTTGGAGCTCCGGCGAACAAAACAAGAGAGGAACTGAGCTGGAAAAATTACCGAAAAGCTAGAAGAGAGGAGAGAAGGAGGAGAGAGTTGTTTGTGTTGGTGTTTAAAATGAAGGGAGAGAGACCCTTTATATAGGCGTCTCCACTCGACCAAAATGGTAGAGGATCAATTGCGATCATAATTACGACCTTAATTATCGATGTAATTTATTCTGAATTCAAACCTTCCATTTGAAGCAGTCTTAATTGATTCTAATTATAAACTTTTTGTTTGTGATGATCGTAATTTATTCTAATTTCAAATCTTCCGTTTGAAACGATTGTAATTTATTCTATTTTCAAACCTTCCGTTTGAGATTATAATAAATCTATCCAACGGATAATATTTTATCTAATTAATACTGCGACTTAGGCCATATACCCGGGTTTAATTTTGGATTGCATAATTTAGTTTGTCTCGAGACAGACAAAATAGCCAAAATATTAACCAAACCCTATCCACAGTAAATAAACAATATGTATTTATTTTTTCCAAATTAATCTAATTAATTTGATACACTGGCCCGTCACATTTTCACTCACAAAATAATCGATTACAAAATAACTGATTATCCAACAATGTATTGATGCATTATTTCATGTATTACCTCGAAAAAGAATCGGCTTTGTTTAGATAGGGGCTTTGGGAGGTTTTTGGAATTTTGGAAGTTTAAAAAAAATAAAAAATTAGTATTTGATTGGATATTTTATGAAAGAATGAATAATATCAAATGAGTTGATTCCCCGTAACACCGTTTTTGTTGCGAATGTCAAATCCATGTAAATCAAATAGTGAGACATCCTTCTTTCCGGACTATATTTTTTGTTCGATCCCAAGTGGATAATGGAAGAAATCAGCACATTTTTTGCATAATGGAAGCACACTCATAGTTGTATATTAGCGCAATATATATAAATTAACATAACACGAAAATTCGATACAAATTCGATACGAGATAATTAGGCTTGAGTCAAGAATTTTAATCCAATTATGTATACAGATCAACACAAATTAAACACGATAATAAACAGTTGTATTAAGATTAATGTTCTCAGTATTAATTAATTAATCTATTATATATATTAAATAATTCTAATTTGATAAGTAGCTCATATATTAGTTTAAATTAAGTTTAATTTTAAATAATTCAGCCTAATTTATTATACACATTACACTAGAACCCCGACAACAATTAACATGATCCGACAACCTGACATGAAATAATTGAGTTTGTATAAAAAATTTCAACCAAATTACGTATACGGATCAATACGAATCCGATACAAAAACAAACAAATCAGATTAGAATTGATTTATTTTACCTATATTTAAAATATTCAACTCGATACGAACCCGATACAAACTGATTCATTAGCATGTCTAACCCAAACTCCGCCCCAAACTTAAATATAATATTCCTAGACAAACAGACTTTTTCTGCTTTGTTTGTTTTAGGTTTAGGTTTTCAATAATCAAATTATTGAAGTTAAATAATTGTTTAATAGAATATAAATATATGTTGATGACATATTTTGAATTTAAATTATTTTTAGTATAATATGATAATAAAAAATAAATATTTTTAATTTTATATACTTTTAACGAAATTTTTTTATAAATAGTAATATTATGTAATAAAATCCAAAAAATATTGTAACATGCCAAGAAGCCAACACGTTAACATCAATTTTATTTTTGATTATGGTCCAATTTTACAATTATTTAGGAGTATGTGTTGCTAAAATAAAACTAATTTTAGAAACTTTTTTTTTTTTTTTTTTTTCATTTGAGTCGAGTTCTCAAATTGCCCAGATTTAGGGGCTTTTTAATTTGTTAATTTGGCTTTGATTAGTTTAATTTCTTTTTCGATTTGGTTTAATATTAATTTGAGTTATTACTTCCGCTAATTAATTTGTTATTTTGTACCTGAGGTATGTTTGAGAAATTCATCAATCTAGAATATAAATTCACTACAAACACATTTTATTTTATTTTTTATAATACTATACAAACACAAATATTGCTGCTATATATTATTTTAGATTGAATATTTGATTTTTTATAATAAGTATTTTAATTTTTTTTAATTTTGTATAAAATATTATTATTATTATTATTATTATTTAGAATCAAAATTGAAAAATGATATTGAAAGAATAGAAAGAATATTAATTAATCTCATGATTTTATAATATACTAAAATAATAATATGAATTATAATAATATCTAAATGATCATATAATATAAAAATATATTAAAACTGAATATAGATTGAATGTAAAAGTACATTGGGTCCATCAATATTATTGGTAAAAATAGATGAGAAAAGAAAGGTAGAAATTTGAATAAGAATCAATAGTTTCTTATTAAATAAGGTTTAAACATATATTTATTTTGGAAAACTAAATTAGTAAAGTAAACAAACTTTTAATTGAGGGAGAGAGTAATAATTTTAAGATATCAAAATCATTTTAAATAAGTTTTCAATAATTTAAATTTAAATAATTTTAATTTAACATTTTATATAAGTAATTAAATTTTTTAAGTAATAATTTATGTTTTTTTATAAATTAAAATCTTAATTGACTGTTTTAAATGATTTGAAATGTAATTATATATAAAACAAGGTTACTATTTCCTAATTTAGTAATTGTATTACCTATTTAACATAATAAATATCCTTCCAACTTATACTATATTACACAAATGTCGTTACTTTTATATTACACAATACTAGTAGGAGTATTTTCGTTTTTTTCACTGCAACACATTATAATACTAATATTAAAAAATCTACGTACAAAAAGTAAACGACAATCTTGCACTGGAACGAAAGAAGTATTATATATATTAATATTTTTGAAATAATATAATAACCGAACATAATACTTAAATACATTATAATATATTGAATATTAAAAGATAAAAAAAGTAAAAAATAAACATATTACTAATAAAATTATTTTTAAAAATATGTTAAAATATATACAACTATACTGATAGCAAAATAATTTACATAATATATATAGACTAACAAATTTAATTTATTTTATTAAAATAAATACTTATTTATTTATTTATTTATTTATTTATTTTTAAAAAAACATAATAATAATAATAATAATAATTTTAAGGGCCAGGAATGCCCCTTAACTAATGGGCATGAATGGCCTAGCTCTTAGGCCCGGCAATCTCCATCACAAAAAGAAGCTTATATGTCGTATCCAAAGATTCTATAATGTATACTTATTCTATTATTCAAATTTATTCTTATTTTTTTATTTTTTATTTTTTTGTAAAATTCAAAAGGAATGGAAACATATTTCAATGACGGATGTAATATATATATATATTGTCGGTATCAAACAGAAATATTTTTAAAATAAGAAATAATTAAATATACTTAATTCTTATCTTACACTTTATCTTATCATATTATCCACATAAAAAAATAAATATATATATATATATTTTTTTATCACATTACTTAATTCCTAAAGGGTAAACTGTGTTTTTTTAATTTGGACCCCTTATTATTTTAGTCTCGTAAATGGAGCATGTCGCAAACTAGTCCCATAAGTGAAAAGTTTACGCTGTTTTAGTCCTCCGGCGCCGGAGACACCCGCGTGGCTCGCCGGAGGTGACGTATCCGCTAGGTGTCTCGCCAGGTCAGCGATACATGGCAGACACGTGAATTTATTTATTATTATTTTTTAAAATTTTTTTTAATTGCACAAAAAAAAAATACAAATAAAATTAAAAATAAATTAAAAATAAATTTTTAAAAAAATTTTAAAAATGAAAAAATAAAAAATAAAAAAATCCACGTGTCCGCCAGGTCAGCGATGACCTGGCGGACACGTCACCTCCGGCGAGCCACGCGGGCGTCTCCGGCGCTGGAGAACTAAAACAGCAAAAATTTTTCACTTATGAGACTAGTTTGCGACAGACTCCACTTACGAGACTAAAATGATAAGAGGGTCCAGTTACGGGACTAAAAAAACAGTTTACCAATTCCTAAAGTATCTTAGGGTCCGTTTGAATTGGCTTAAAAAATAAATAGAAGCCAAAAGCAAAAGCAGTTCGATTCTGTGTTTGGGTAAATCATTATAAAAACAGCTTTTCGTAAAAAACTGTTTGGAGGATATATAGTTGAAAGTGCTTTTAAACTGTTGAAATTATTTAAAAGGATATGCAGTTAATATAATAGTATTTTTTCTATAACGCTTTTATAATTTAATTTAAATTTTATAAATTATATTTAAAGATTTTAAATTAAAGTATACAAATTTTACTTTTAAATTTTGATTATTTATATTTTAAAATTTTAATTTAAGGATAATATATCAATTAAACATAACATTACAATATAATATTAAATAATTTGTATTTTATAATTTATTTTAAAATTGTATAAATTATATTTAGTAATTTAAGTATAATTAAAAATTTATATACTCCTATTTTAGTTCAGTATTTAAATTTTAAATTTTAATTCAAATATAATACATAAATTAACAATAATAAATTAATTTTATTTTTAAATTTTTATTAAAATATAATATATATAAGTTATTTATTTTTATATTATATTATATTATCGTATTGTATTTATTATTATTATTATTATTATTATTATTATTATTATTATTATTATTATTATTATTATTATTATTATTGTTAAGGATAAAATAGTAATTTTAAATGAAAAATATTTTTACTTATTTCAGAAGTTACTCCTAAGTACTTTTCAACTTCAAAAGCTGCTTCTGCTTTTGGACAGAAACCAATGCAAACAGGTGCAAACTGCTTTTTTTAGAAGTAGAAGACAAAAGCTTCCGCCAGAAGCCAATCCAAATGGGGCCTTACTCAATACTATCTATTTAAATTTTTGCTTTAAAAATAAATATTGCAATATGTTTAGCACGAAGGAAGTATCATATTACTATATGTTGGATAAACTATTTTTTTTTTATTCTCGTAATTGACTAATCTTATCATTTTAGTTCTGTAATTGAAATTTGTATTGAAATAGTCCGTAAGTAGATTTTTTCTTGGCACATTTGGTCACCTGGCATAGGAGATGACTGCGTCGCATGTTGGAGGACATGTGTTCGCCAGGTAAGCGCCACGTGAAATAATATTTGTTTGCAAACAATTGTTTTTCTAGTTTCA